GGCGCGGCACAGGTGCGTGGTGCTGGCCCGTGCGGAGCGACCCGCGGGAGGACACTCTCCCCTCCTCAGGGCTCCCGGGAATTCGGCTTTGCCCGCAGGAAAGCGGCGACAGGGCCTGGGGGATGCCGGAGAGCTGCTTAGGCCGTGCGGGCTGCAGTGCACTCGTGTGTGGCCCAGCAAGGCGTGAATGAGTTTCCTGCTCTGAGCTGGTCAGGTCATGCTTGCACAGTGCTGTGTGTATACGCTGTGTGTGCTAACTGTGATCTCTCCCTGTGCCCGGTGTCACGCAGGAAATCCACATCTTATTGGTTGTAAGTAACTTGGAAGAAGAAGATGGAAGAAAAGGAGAAGAAGAAGCATCGTGCAAAGCACAGTGGGCCAAAGGCAGAGAAGAAAAGGAAACGTTATCTCAATGACCTGGGAATAGGAGATGAGGAGAATGCACGGAAGAGAAACCCCAAAGCCTTTACAGTCCAGTCTGCTCTGCGGATGGCCAGAAATTTCCATAGGTAAGAAGTTGGAATTGGTTGTAGAGCATGTAGGGTCGGCTGGGTGGATAGGTGTGGGCTGGGGTTTCTCTGTTTACTTTGTGTACTAGGAGTGTGGTTTTCATTGGTGTGTGTAGTTTTCAAAGTTCACTAGGTTGTGTTGCAGTTTATGCATGTGTCATACCTGTGGTGGTTTCTCCACCTGTTATGTAGTACGGCTGTGTTAATCCATGGAAAAAATCTATAACTCCTTAGGCTCCATGGGAGTTTCACATCCATGTTAGTGTCTAGGCTCATGGTGTGCAGAAGCTTTTGCAGATACAGAAGACTTTGAAAGAATAAATATTACTGTTTATTACATTCTTATATTTATTGCCAATCTCTTCTCAGAACTCAGGATTTGAAGACTAAAAAACATCACATTCCTGTGGTTGATCGTACTCCTTTGGAGCCACCTCCTGTGGTGGTGGTTGTAGTTGGCCCTCCCAAGGTTGGGAAGAGCACTGTAATAAAATGTCTCATTAAGAACTTCACAAGGCAAAAGCTGGTTGAAATCCGTGGTCCTGTTACAATTGTTTCAGGTGAGAACAACAATATGAGAAATAGAAATGCTGTTGTTGTGCTCCTTGTCTTGCTTTTGGAGCTAGGATGTGTTCATGTTCTCATAATTTTTAGTCATTTTGAAGAAATCATTTGGATGTGTGATCAGGCAATACCTTTTAAAAGTAAAAGAAGAGTGAGTTTTGGGCTTTTGGGGACTTGTCCCTCTAAACTTGTTTTTCACTCTGCTGAGATCCCAATTCTATTTTGTTTGGGGTTTGCCTTTCTGACTTCAGTTTCTTTCACACCCAAACTTTTCACAAGTTTTTCCTCTGGTTTCTCTTTTCCCTTTTGAACTGTGTTTCTCTGGCTTCATCTTGACCACTACACACTTCATATTCTTTCAGGTTCCCTGTCCTATAATCCTGTCCCTTTCTCTCTTAAGCAAAGAATTACTTTGCCTAGCCAGTTTCAGGTCCATTTCTCCACCTCACCCCCTGGTCAGTTCCTTTTCCTTTTTGTTAAGTTTTCAGTTGCTATTTCCACATATCTTAGTCTATTTCCTTCATGTTTCCCTGAATATTACCAAGGGTGTCACTGAGGTTCTATGCACAGCTCACAGCAGCTCAAGGAACAAATTTGTACATGCTTGAACACAGACAACTATGTTGGTGCAGGTAAACTCTTCAGAGACTTTCACTAAAGACAAAAGAATATGAAATTTTTTTTTCCCCAAAGTAAAAAAAACATTTTTTTGCTCTTAGCATAGTTTTTTGAAAAGCCCAAACAACTCCTTTGAAAACTTGTGCTTAACCTACTGAGTTTAAACTGAAAAAATATGTAATTTAGCAGAATTGTAAACATGTCTAAACAGGCACTTCTACAGTGAACAATCTACATGTTAAACAAGAATTTGAGTCCCTGATGCCCTTAAAGAGTGTCAGCAATGTGACCAAAGAAGAAAACTCTACTAATTGGTTTCCTTCCTCTGTTTCGGTTTTTGGTTCTTAATTCTGTTTTCAGGTAAAAAACGCAGGCTAACTATTATTGAATGTGGGTGTGACATTAACACAATGATTGACCTGGCTAAAGTTGCTGATTTGGTAAGTTAACAATGGCACATGGTTTCTACTAGAATTTATATTGACCATACTATTTTTGCCTGGGCTGCACCAATGTCTGATTCTCTAACTGTTGCTGTTGAGGGCAGAACTGTCTTTGGTTTCAGAGAGAGCAGGACTTAAACACATTGACAAACCTAATATTCTGGAATTGACCATAGGACTTTCCTTATCTTAGGGGTGGGGGCAAAAGTGTGTGTGGTGATGGGGAGGGTGTGAAAGAAAGGAAATGCAACTGAACTTCATTGCTAAGGCAACTGGTAAACTTTTAATGGAAGATCTCATAACAAGCCAAGGTGATACGGTGACTTTTCTTTAATGTATTTGGTTGAACTGTATAGAATCAAAATGGTTGATAATCAAGAAGCCTAAAGTAGAAATATGGATTAATTTACCAGCTGGGGTTTTATGCTCTCTCATGTCTCTATGTTTGAAGATCATTGTGAAGTAATACGACTGATTTCAATGGAGTGTGGTCACTGTTGTAATTTACTTGTAACTTTTGGATTAGGGGATTACATCAACTGATCTTGGGGATCCAATCCGTGATCCATTTGTCTGTTTAGAGTTTTACTTTACATACAGATTGGTAGCTGATCAGGGTGTGGGATCCTTAGATATGTAATAACTATATAAATATCTAAATACATAAGTGCACTAATCTAGATATTGTTGTACTTCCATGTTTTCTACCTCAGCAAGGGAGATGTATTAAACAATACAAAAAGTTTTTATTAGTAGATATGATGGGTGTTGGAGATTTTGTGTGCACATGGTGATGCTGACAATATCTGGGTTTATTGTTGGGGGCTGAGATGCTTGAAGATCTGTCATCAGTTCCCATAAGTTTTAAACTCTTTATTGTTGAGACCCTAAAACAACTTTGCTTCCACCTCAGCAAGGGAGATGTATTAAACAATACAAAAAGTTTTTATTAGTAGATATGATGGGTGTTGGAGATTTTGTGTGCACATGGTGATGCTGACAATATCTGGGTTTATTGTTGGGGGCTGAGATGCTTGAAGATCTGTCATCAGTTCCCATAAGTTTTAAACTCTTTATTGTTGAGACCCTAAAACAACTTTGCTTCCATTGTGACTGTTTTTCCCTGTGTCAATGCATTTTGGTGATGTGTAACAGTAATTGCAATGTGTGAAGTAAGTTTGTCTCATTTTACTAAAAGACTTGGCCTTCAAGGCATTAGTGCATCCAAGACACAGATGTAGGAATTCTATTAATTTCTAAGATGTTCCTGAAAATATTGGAAGGTACTCAATTTTGCATGTTTTAAATTCACCAAGTAAACACTTGTTCAGATTTTATTATAGTGCTGTATGTTACTGCATTTCTAGAGCAGTCTCATTCTTCTGTAGCTGTCTCAGATACAATGATCAAATCAAGTCTATATGAAGGAGGTTTGATTGACTGGAAGAAGAGATTTGATTTCCTAAGCCCCACTAACTTCTAAAGCAGCAAAGATCTGTACTTTAAAAAGCCAAAGTTGGTTTTCAGGTTATATGAAAAAAGAATTACTAAACCTTTTGCAAGATTTTGGTTCTCAGGAAGCTTATGACTTTAAAGGTGTGGTCTTTGAAATTAGCTCATGTGGGCACCGTGGTATTGCTATAGTGAAGTGTGAATCTTGTGTTTCCAGGTTCTAATGCTTATTGATGCCAGCTTTGGATTCGAGATGGAAACATTTGAGTTCCTGAACATTTGTCAGGTACATGGCTTCCCCAAAATTATGGGAGTTCTTACCCACTTGGATACATTCAAGAACAACAAACAGTTAAAGAAGACTAAAAAGAAGTTAAAGCACAGATTTTGGACTGAAGTGTATCCGGTATGACATTTAACATTAATTTCTTCATATATTTTGCTTTATGGATGCTGAATTAAAAGTGGGGCAATGTTAAAGTACACGTTAAATCCCTACATTTTACTTAAGTGTTTCTTATGTTCTTATATATTTTAAATAATATAAGTGAATAATGTTGATATTGTGTCAGATTATGTAATCTTTCTTCTATTTGATAAAATACTTGTGTGCTTATTCTCTATCCCACTGTGATAAGCTACTAAACATGTTCTACTAGTAAACAATCTGTTTGCAGGTGCTGTGCAAGGAGGATCTGCTTGGAGGTCTGTACAAGGTCTTCTGGATGTGAATGGTTTTCCCCTAAGATTTAGGGGGCAGTTTTCATGTTGAAGTAAACTAGTTTGTTTGATCTTTTAGAACCAATTTTAACCTACAATTTTCAGTTACGATTTGCAAGTTAGAATTGCATTATTATCTTTGGTCTATTTTTTATTTTGTAGGTATTAAATTGATGTTTAATGTTTTTATGTCTTTTTAATGTGTTTAGGGTGCCAAGTTGTTTTATTTGTCTGGGATGGTTCACGGAGAATATCAAAAGCAGGAAATTCACAATTTGGGACGTTTTATCTCTGTTATGAAGTTCCGACCTCTTACTTGGCAAACATCTCACCCATATGTTCTCGCAGACAGGTGTGTATTTTTCTCTCTCTTCTTCCATCTCAGCACAGAGAGCACCTTGCTGTTTGAAAAAACTGGTGTTTGAGCCAGTCAGCTCTGTGAGGGAATGGGTGTCAGTGTTACCTGGGTGGCTTTGGGAAGTGAAAGCCTCTGCAGGGTTGTGCCATTAAGTTTAGCCATTTAGTTTTCATTTGTGTCGGATCATGTAGATAGGCCTTTGGTATATTGTAAATACTTTTGAAACATGGAAAGAGTAATTAAAATAGTCTTGCTTGTTGATGATTATATTGAATTTCTGTGGAAAATGAACAGCATTCCAGCAATTTAACAACACTGGTGAATTAGTCCTCAGTTTCCTGGAATATGCCTTCTGCTCCATCTCCATCTATAGCATTTGATTCACAGTCTCTTTAGAACATGAAAGTAATCTTGGTGGTGGTTGTGCCTACTTGAGAAATGACCTCATCTTTCATATTTTATTGCCAGAATGCTTACAGTTATGACTGTAATCCCCCAAGAACCCAAGGTGCCTAGAATGAACCTTTTTCAAAGCTGTAATTCTTTAGGAAAAACTGTCAGAGGAGCAGATAAACATCATGCAATGTTGAGGAATACATCTGGTCCCGGTGGCTCAGCTTGCAAGCTGAGTCAATGTATTCCTCAACAGCAAAGTCCTGCAAAATATGCAAATCAGAGAGAGGGAAAATGCAAAAAAGCTACCCCATAGTTTTTCAGTAACGTTGTTTCAGGTTGCAATAACTGTTACAGTTATTATGATTGTTGCATGAGTTTTAAGCTGACCTGCAGCCAGGATGTGTGTCCCATTCTCTTCCTTGGCTGTGTTTGTGTTGCCTCCCTCGAACAATGTAGGAAGAAGTTTCCTCTTCATCTGCCTGCAAACAGTCAGTCTTTTTTCTGTGGTAGCTTTTGTATTATTCACCACCATTATTAGGGGAAAGAAGGTATTGTGTGGCTACAGGGAATGTGACTTTCAGCTGTTTGCCCTCTAATGGCAAAACTGATTTGAGGAGTGATCTCTGTGGAAAGCATATAAACAATACATAAAATGTGCTAAGCAATCAGGACATGTTTAGTGAAATGTCAGAAAATCTTCTGGAAATAAGTTGATAAACATGATTATACAACTTCTTAAATACAATTTTAAAATGCTTTGGAAGACTTCTTTCTCTTTAGATTTTTTTTTTCTTATGATCATTTTTTATGATGATTAGAGCTTGCAGAGCACACAGTGGTAGCAGTGATGCTGCAGTTCTCTTTTCGTAAATTACCTTTTTGCAAAAGCTGCTGTTGGGATTGGTGGATATTTTAACTTGCAGTTTGAATGTTGTGTAGAATGGAAGAGCTGACAAACCCAGAAGATGTTCGAATCAATCCCAAATGTGACAGGAAGATATCACTCTATGGATACTTGAGAGGAGCACACCTGAAAAATAAAAGTCAGATTCATATGCCAGGTAATTTTTCAGACTCTTAAAACTTTGTGTACTGATCTGTGGATAACAACATAGTTGAAATGATTTGTATCTTTAAACTGTATGTTGTAAAACATATTTTTCACATGTCTAAATACGTGTTTGTAAAAAGTTGCAATTAATTTTGCTTTTTTTTTGTTGCAACTTTAAACAAAATATTCAGTGTTTAAATTTTTGAAGGTGTTTTGCTTTAAAAGGTGCTTGAAGCATAAAACATACCAGTCCTAATAATTAAAAGTAAATTTGGCTTATGTAATATTTCTCAAGCTCATTGAATAATTTAATATTTGAAGTGAACGATTAAAAAATTTAAATTAAGAAATAGTTCAATAATAAGTTTATGGATTCATTAAGAAAAGTGAGTTGCTAGTTTTCTCATTGTTCTTACAAGCAAACAAAGATTCACAGGACTCTGGTGAATTTATGTATGCTTCTCTTAAGTTCAGTGGTAAGGCAGAAGAATTGGATATTTGGTACAGAGCTTGCTGTTGATCATCACTGAATAGCACAATGTTTTGGGGTGGTGTTTTTTTGGTTTCTTTTTGTTATTCTGTTAATGGTGAATTGTACAAATTTCAGAATCAAAAATTTGTGAAAACCTTGTTGCTTCCTTTGTCTGTCACCCCAGGTGTAGGAGACTTTACTGTGAGTGATGTGAGTTTCCTGCCAGACCCCTGTGCTCTACCTGAACAGCAGAAGAAACGTTCTTTAAATGAGAAAGAGAAACTTGTCTATGCTCCTCTTTCAGGAGTTGGGGGTATTGTATATGATAAAGATGCTGTTTATATTGACCTTGGGGGAAGCCATGCTCATGAAAAAGAAGAGGTAAGGGAATGCTGTTGGTGATTTGAATTCTGTTGCAAAATGTAATTTTTATCCCTAGAATCCAAATAATTATCTATCCATAGTGGGTATTGCTGTTTTCATCGTCTGTGATTTCAGAGAAGGGGTAGTTCTATTATTTGTTACTGTGCAAAACATCTGAAAGATCAGTTAATAATAAGTACCTAAAGGTCATGCAATAATCTTTCCAAACATTGACTTAAGATTTATGAAAACTCCTGGCACTGGGGTATTATCACTCTTATTTTGCAGGTCATGGTGATTGTGGGAGAACACTTAGAGGATTTGACTGCTCAAAGGGAGGGATGAGAAACATTTGCATACAAACAGATTGAATTGAGCTTTTTTCCCCTGTATTGTGTAAAATGTTAAATACCTTTGTGTCTATGACAGTGTGTGCTTGCTGATATTTACTGTAGTGGTTGCATATCATGAAGGAGTCCCTCTTTAATTTTTCCTGGGTTGATACCATATGCCTTGTTGAAATGTGAAGAGGGGAAGGGAGACCTTGCTAGTCTTAGAAAATGTTTATTTAGAATGCTCTGCAACTTTTTCTTGCATATACATATTTCTGCTGTTTTAGGCAGGTTAATGACTGCAATAACTGTTCATTAGACATTTACTTACTCATTTTAATTGAAAAGTAAAAAATCTTGGCTTTTCAGGAGGAAGTGAGACCAAATCATGAACTTGTTCAGAGCCTCATCTCTACACATTCAGCCATTGATGTTAAGATGGCATCAAGCAAAGTCTCTCTCTTTATGGACTCTAGACCCTTAGGTTCAGAAGATGTAGGACAAGAGTAAGTTTTGAGTGCTGAGCAGTGTTTGAGCATGAATTAATATCTTAATTTCAGCCTCTAATTTAGGAAAAATTCTCAATAGAGCACAGTTAGTAGAATGGCATATTGTCTAATTCTTCCTCTTCTAAGATTACTCATATGCCACACTGTATTTTGAGATAGAAATATTTGGTACTAGAAAGTTTTGTAAGCAGTACAGTCCTGCCTTCCAGGAATTTCTTGCTGATATAGCCCAAGTAACATATTTCTGGTTTTTTGTTCAGTGTTTTAGATAATGTCAGTCATAGTCATCTGTAAAATACATTATATAACCTATTTTCATTCCATGGAAAATGAGAAATTTATTGCAATTATATCTGGCTGTAACGTAGGGTGTATTCTTGCATTAATAGGCATTCTATATACTTAACACCATTGCCTTTTTTAATGCTCTCTCTAACCTCACTTTGGAAAACAGTTATAACATTTTTACAAAATGTTAGCATGAAGTTTCATTGTTTCATTAAAATTTTCTTGTATTTGACCATCTTACCCCAAATGTGGTCTTTTGGAAAACAGGTTTGTGATGCCAAAAGAAGAGAGGCAGATTGATTTGAAGACTGGAAGAGTACGTCGGAAGGCAATATTTGAGGAAGAGGAGAAAGAAAATGATGATACAGGAAGTGATGAGGAAGATGACCAAGAAGAAGAAGAAGCAATGTCTGAGGATGGAAGTGATGGTGATGATGAAAATGATGCTGAGGCAGAAAATGACAGAGAGCAATTAGGGGAAGAGATGATTATTAGGAAAGCCAAACGTCTGAAAACAGAGGTGGCTAAGGAAGAAGCTGTAAATGAACTGCCAGCATTTGCAGACAGCGATGATGATCTTGAGATGAGTTCTGAAGAAGAAGAAAGAACTGCCCCTGATGACAGTGAGATGGAGGAAGATGATGATGAGGAAGAGGAGGAGGAGGATGATGATGAACAAGGGACTTATGAAGATGAAAGCTCAGATAGTGAATTTGAGGCTGCAAACAAAAGAGCTGAATCTAAGCAGTGTGAAATAAATAGTGAAGATAGAGAAATGAAATCACAAATCTCTGATCACAGTCTGAAAAGAAAATCAGTTCTCACTACAGATTCAGGAAACTGCACAGCAGAAGAGGCATCAGAATGGGAGGTTGAAAACTCTTCACTTGATGAGGGCGATGATGAAGGAGGATCACATGATGAGTTAGAAGTTGAAGAGTCAAATAGGAATGGATTTCAGCACAGTCAAGCAACAAAAGCTGACAGAGTTAGACAGACTGAACTTGAATCTGTAGAAGCTGAAGATGATGATGTGGAGAATTTACTGAGAGAGGACGAGGAATACGAAGAAAAATTAGACTTTTCTGCTGACACCACAGGTAGGCTATAAATGTTAAATTTTTACTGTCCATTTTTAATTGGATTAATTGTTAAAGGATATAATTAATACTAAATTTAACTAAAATTTTTTAAATAAACTAATTTAACTAACTGGTTAATTAACTTTTAAAATTAACTGATTTTTACTAAGACTAAAGTTACCCCTCATATATATATATATATATGTATATATATTGCTAAGTGGCAGACTTCACATTAGGAAACCTGGGAATATCTGCTCTTAAGCCTTTCATTTGCAATATAGTATTCAGGTCTCAGGTTTCCTTCCTTTAAAGTGGCAGTGATTCATTTTATAAACTTCACTGGTTTTGCATATACTTATCTTTAATCTTTATGGCTGTGTGTGTAAAACAAATTATGATGCTGTATTACATAGTCTAGAAAGACTTAAATATTCTTGGGGAAATGTTAATAAAATGCATTAACTACTCACTGAGCACTGGAACAGGTTGTGGAGTCTCCCATCTTTGGAGATACTCAAAAGCTGTCTTGAGGTGCTGCTGAGCAACCTGCTGTAGGTGTCACTCCCTGAGAAGTGGGTCTGGACAAGGTCACTTCCAGAAGTCCCTTCCAACCTCAGCCTTTTTGTGAGTCTGTGAAGACATGTATCATCATGAACATAATCAAATCTGCCACTATTGCCAATAAATTCTTAAAATTTTGGCCTAAAATGAGGACTTGTCAGGGAAAAAAATGAGTAAGTGATAGATTTTTTTTAGCCACAATTTATGTTTCTGTGTATATATGGAGTATGAGGAAAAGAAACTGTGGGTTGTATCTACACTTCTTAAGCCTGTTGTTATCATGTCCTGATTTAAATTATTTTTTTAGTTCCTAATTCTACTTCTTTTTTGGAGGTAGAATGCAATTTTTTCTTCCATTTTCAGGTGCACTTAAGTGGAAAGAGGACCTTACACAGAAGGCAGCTCAAGCCTTTCTCAGACAGCAACGTTCAACTCCCAATCTTCGTAAACTTGTATATGGAACAGGTACACATTTGTTTGGAAACTTGTCTTAATAGCTTTTTAGCTGTTTTCAAGTCTGAATATTTAAGCACTGTCTTTTGGTGAGAGGCTTGAGGAGAGTTAATTGACTTTTTTAATTGCTGATACTCATTATCACTAGTAATTGTAATAAAGACAGTTTTTACTTTTCCAATAAAAGGCATTTTGAACTCATTTTGCAGAGTACTCGGTTGTTACTTGTGCTTTCTGGTACAGTGTTTTCCTCCAAAACACTTAAAGTTTGATCATTTATATAATTGCCTGGTAGATATTATGCAAATCCATCCTAAAGAGATGATGTTTGGATGTTTTCAAGAATTTCTTTCTCTTAGTGGCTGAGTGTGGAATATTCTTTTAGACATGGCTTAGTATTACCGTGTCACTAATAAGGATGTTTGTCAGGGGAAAAAGTAGCTAGCTGGCTTAAAAGGAAGAGAAATTGCTATTTATATAATTTGTCCTGTTTAATTCACAACTTTGCCAATGATTTTCTGAGTGTGCAAACCTCATCAGTCAGAACCTTTGTAGAACACAATGAGAATCTGGCTTTTGTAAACCTTCCACAGTGCAGGAGTGGGAAGATTTGCTGACAGATTCTCAAGTCTGATATTCTTAATTTACAGACAAACCTAATGTCCTTCCTGTTCATAGATCATTTTGCTATTGTTCCTATTTATGATATTGAACTAACACCCTGTTACTTACTGGGTAATTTTTTTCACATTATTCCAGTTATGCAAATAACTGGATCAGTGTACCTTTTGCTTTAGTCTTTTATACTGAAAACTATTTTTAGTTTGTGTTTTTTATTTCCTCAAATTACTGTAGGTGTTCTGAAGTGTAAGACAGCAGAGAGGTGGTTAATGAATATAATATATGGAGTGTGGGGGAAATTACACCCTTTGTATGTTTCATTTAGCTGCAGAGGATGAGGACCATGAGAGTGAGGATGCAGCTGATGAACTTGGAGGTTTGTTTCATGTCACCCGTCCAGACAAAGCATCCAAACAGAAGGCTAATGCTCTTGACTGCTCCAAGTTTCTGGTAGAAAAGCCACGAGATTGGGATTTAGAAGAGGTAATAATACCATTGGATAGTTGCTTCTGCATATCCTGTGCTGGTTATGTCTTGGCTATGTCTCATAAAGCACTGCTGAGTTGTCATTGAAACAGACCTGTGGGAGCTGTGCCCAGAGTGTCTTACATTCTGCTACTTGTTGTCATTAGAAGTATTTACTAGCTAACAGATTTTAAGGCCTGTTCTTACAGGAGTGGAAAGTTACAATAAGCAAATTTAATGCTTGGCTGTAATGACTATTTGGTGGATGATAGTTTGCTATTTATTTACCAAAAAGTAAAAAACAGGAGAGTCCCAAGTGAAAATGCAATGTAGAGTAGAGACCTTGTTAGTGTAAAGACCTTTGGGCA